ACTTATCATGTAACTGTAAAACCTTAGAAAACTGTTCATATGATAGTTCCACAATAACAAACTAATAAAAATCTAATTGGCTAAAGAAGTGGCCTTAATAACAAAAAAAAACAATTTCTAGTTTGTATATTGAACTACTAGTAGTAGTTACTTTAACATCAATTATCTTATTATATGTGATTATATAAAAATTTTTTTGAAAATATTACTATAGATAATAACTAATAAAATTTAATATAATTTACCTTTGCAATTTGAACAGTAGCTATACTAATACTCTCTGCAGTAATATAAACAAGACACCATTTATTTTTTATTTTTTATTTTTTTTTAAAGAGGGAGTTCTGTGTCCTAGTATTTTTTATTTAAGACTTACAACTCTAATTAATAGGGGGGTATTACATTACATTTCAATGAGGCTACAGATAGCTACTTGTACAACTTTAGTCATTGTCTATTTAAAGGTTCTGCCCGCAGGTTACCTGCTAACTGCTGTACCTAAAATCTGCTTATAGATCCTCTATTTAAGTTCTCTGATTTTCAACATTTTGTAACACCAACTCAAATACAGTTATGATCAAGACTAAGGGCTACTTTACCTATGGACATAACCTCTATCAAGGAGTAGTTTATGCCTATTTCATTGACGTCTATGAATTTGTACCCTTGCAATATTCATACAACCTAGTTTTTACTGTAGCTCTCCACCAGTTTTCTGTTTACTGATCTTTTCAAATGTTTTACAAGATAGATCCTCCCAATCCAGTTAGCCGCTAAGCCAGGTTAGTGTTACTAATTCTCCCATGGAATGGACTTACTTGCACCCAACTTGATATACATTTTCAGAGAAACAGTTTCTTTTCCAGATCAAGCGTTAGCTAGTGTGACTATCAAAAGCCATATTACTTTACCAATTTAGGATTTCTACCATGCAGGTCTTCTGCTCATAGATCCTATCAAGATTTATTAATGTAACATTATGCACTTTGTCATACTTCCAATATCTGAATAATATTGGTGCAATGTGATTTACAGGGTTACAACCTCCAGAAACAGACAGGGTTTACTATAAGTTAGATACAAAGGTCCAGATAATTATTCAAATTTGTCAATAGTGAGATTTGAACCCCGAACCTCTTGCATAGCAGTCTGGCAATCTAACCACTACACTAAGATTGCCAGACCTACAAGACACTATTTATCTATTAAATAAAAACATAGATTAATATAATAATTATATTCTGTAACCAGATTCTAATAAAAACATATAAAAAAACTTTACCTTTTTTTAAATTTTCTCTAATAATTAATTTAACATAACTGGTAAAAGAAGTGATAAATAACTCTGAAGCTTTTTCAAGGCTTATACTATCAGGCATAAAAAGAATATCTTGAATATCTGCAACAATACGTTTAGCAAAACTTCTTTAGCCATATTCAAAAACTCTATCACTAGGTTTAAATTTATTATTAACTATAGAATAAACACACCAGCAAACTAAAATTTGAAAACATATGTGAATAATTAGATTCCGTTGATAACACAAAGGAGAAGAGACAAAAAGAAACATATTTTTTAAATTACTTGTAAAAAATCATCAGTATAATTTACTTAAATGAAAATACTTACTTCAGCACTGAGTATGAAAAGGAGTAGTGGCTTAATTTGATATTTTTCTTGGCTTTATATAACAATTACAAATCAGAAAAACTTTTTTTTATATAATTTCAAATTAATCATTCTAAGGCTATACAAACTGGTATTTTTGGTTCTCATAACTAGCCGGATCAAAATTTGAAGAAAATTTTTATATTATTTATTTAATCGAAATAAATAAAACGTTTATACAGTACCTGTAAAATATCAAAATAATTAAAAGCGGATACTTTAATCTCGACCAAAACTTGATTTTCTTTTAACTCAGGCTCAGGCACATTTAGATTAACTTCAAGCTCATCGATAGTTTTTAATAATTTGCTAATTACGATGGCTTTCATTTTACACTAAACTACCCCAAAGCACTTTAGCAATTACATATTTAATGTCATCCTTAGACAAAGCCATTAGGCCATACAAACTTAATTAATCGGTTTTCATAACCCGGCCGGGTTGCCGGGTCACTTTTGAAAATTTTATGTTATGAAAACCGATTTATTAAGTTTGTATGGCCTTATAGTTGATAGTGAAAATGTTTTAACTCTTCCTATCATGGCCCTACCCATATTAACATCCACATTGATGCTGTCTTGCCTTTTGCGCATATGCTCAAAGCCAGAGAAAAAAAATGCCAAGACTTTGATCGTTACGGTTCTGCCAAGAAAAATTTTACTTACGAATTAACCATATTATCTGACCAAGAAAAAAAAATCAATCAAAAAACGGGAATATAAGCATTTCCCCGATGCACTCCCACTTACACAAAAATGTGTAGAGAGTGGATCTCGAGAAGACATATGCAGAATTGTGATTTTATTAAAGCAACTAAGGTTCGATTGTATATATATACCTAAAGCCAGTGAAAATTTTCATGTAATATTTATATAAAAAATTATGTTTCGGAACGCCGATCTCTTTTGGCAAGAAAAAAAAATCAATCTATCAGAATCTGTTAATAAAGTGAGCACTATTATGTAAATCGTATTGTTCCGATGCACCTACACCACACTAATCTATTATACACGAGTTAAAAAAAATCATAGCCACAACGAGAATATTAATAAAACTTTTAAAGCAAGCCTGAAACGCGAAAAACTTTAATTTTTATTACAAAGTATAATCTACATTTTTTCAATGACATCACGTATAAGTTCATAAAAACATTGTTCATATGTTGACTAAATGTAAGACTATAAATTGATTCACAATATACTTGTTATCCGAAACGAAACCTACCCGAAACTAGTTTCGGGAAGTACTAATCCGAAACTAGTTTCGGATTTTA